GGCACACAGGCAGGGCGCAGACCCCCCGCTCGCTGCCCCGCAGGCTCCAGCCCCTCGGTGCGCAGCCCCACACTCCTTGGCGTGCCCATTGAGCTCCCTGCAGGGCTTGTCCCACGAGTGAAACTCCCAAGCGAGTGCCCAGCATCAGCTGTGCTCAGAAGTGCAAATCACTTTGGAAGAGAGCCCCGGAGCACCGGGCTGCGAGAGGCCACCTTCAAGCGCTCACTCACTACCTGTAACTGGGTCACACACCAAGGCAGCACCAACAACTTCATTAGAGCTACCCAATCATACTCAGCTACACTGCTCTGCTCCTGGAAAGACTTCCCCAAACCTCCTCTGGGCTGTAAGTACAGCCAAGAAAGAATTAAAAGAATTCCTTGAAAGCATTTTGCTGTCAATAGCAATTTCCAAACTGATGAACTCAAAATTCCTCAAACTTCCATGACTTCTGCTTTGCAGCACTGCCATTCTTCACAGCACACAGGCAGGTAAAAGATGTGAATGACAACTGCAGCTACTTCAGGCTAAGGACTGGTCTAGGGCGGGATTTAAAAGGTCTGTTTTTACCTAGTGTTCACTGCAACTCCCATTCTCCTCAAGTGTGTCCATGCCCTCTACCCCAAGGTTTTAAAGCAAGTAAACCATTAAATCTAAAAAAGCAAAACTTTATTAAATGTAAAGCAAACTTTATTAAACCTATAGGCAGTGCAGGGAATGTCTGTGACCTTCATGCGCGAGGGCAACGAGCAGCACCGGCACCTCTGCCACACCACCCGGCTCCGCACGCCATGGGCGCCAGCGGTTCCGCTTCCATGAGCTTGTACTAGTGCAAGAGAAAGGTCCCGGTGGAGGTGGGGGGCTCCATTTGGGAGCTCCAGGAGGGTACAGAGCTCAGACAACACTCGCGGGGGAGGGCCCCACTCGGAAAGCTGCTGGGATGGAGAGCAGCTCCAGCTGCTCTGCAGGGGCGCGCCGGGCTCGTGCTGATCGAAGCCTCGATTCCCAAAGGGGCTGGCAGGGGAAAGGGGCTGCTCCCCACATCCACCGCCCCGCGGCCCTGCGGCTTCTCAGGAGCTCTGTGCCTTGTCCGGGGCTGAGCGCGTCTGCGCCCTCCCGTGTCACCGCAGCCACGCTGTGCCAGCGCTGCACGTCTGCTGTCAGGGACACGGGCGAGGGGCCTTCTCTGCAGGCCTGGGGAGGCACCAAGACTCACCACGGGGGTACCCTTAAAGGGAGATCCATCTCACAGCAAGGAGTTCTGCTGGGCCCTCTCTTCCACCTCAGCTCCTCGTCACATCCACGTTCCTCCTCCCAAGGGGCCTTTCTAAACAGCTTTCACGGTTAACTTGGCATCACCCAAGAAAAGAGTAACCAACTCGCTGTACACGAAGATGGAAGGCCAACGATCAGGCCAACAAAGCCAAGGACAAGGAGAATACAAAGCAGGCAGCCAGCAAAGCAAGAGGAGGGCGCGGGACCCAGGGCACCCGCAGCCCGGGGAGGCACCGCAGCCAAGGCCGCTTCCCGGCGGCGCCTCCCGGGGAGGGTCCTCACAACCCCTCCCAGGTAACGAGGGCACCCACAGCGCTGTCCAGAGCGCAGCACCGGGCAGCAACTTCAACAGCCGCAGGAGCCTCCCGGCAGGCGCAAGAGCAGCGCAGAGGAAACGGAGCTGGTAACAGGCCCTGCACCTGAGCACCGGGCTCGGCAAGACACCGTCAGCGACATCTCCAGGGGTCATGGACACGAGCTCGGCAAGGCCTCCCTCTCTCAACTTTTAGCTGTGAAACATGTAATAAGAACCAAGACTAAAGCTAACAATGCAACTGTTCTCGTCCCTTAGGCTGTTTTGCTGAAAGAACAGCCTCACCTTCTACAGTTTTGGCCTAGCCACAATTATTTAGGTAAAAGCTGACGATGTAAACCCTGAAACAGCTGCAGAAATGACTAGGTCACAGCAACAGACACCGAGGCTCACCCTGACACGGGCACAGAAGCAGCCGGCCTTCCCTGGGGTGTGAGGAGGCAAAGGAGCAGGGAGGCGGCGGGCAGGGGCTCTCCCGAGCCCTGCGCTGCTCGGGCCGCGCGCACGGGGCAGGAAACGGGAGCCGGGAGGCGCTGCGGCCGGCGCGAGGGCCCGCGCGGGGCCCGCCCAGCTGCGCCCGCCGGTAAGGGGCTGCTCTGCGGGCAGAGCCCCACGGCAGGGCAGAGGGCACCGGCGGAACGGGAGCCGCGGGCTCAGGGCAGGCGCCGCAGCCCCTCGCGGC